TTGACAGTTAAAGACTTTTCTGTTTCTATATCATGCCTAAATCCTTTGACGCGCGGTGGTCGTGCCCTGAAACCACCAATTTTCGAATTTTTTTTTCTTCTTTCCGAAATTTTTGAATGAAAATCGATTTATTACTGATCTTTTACCAGAGAGTTTTCTCTGACCTCAACACACTTGCTCCCCAAGCTAGTATTGTGATTTTATAAATTATTTCCTGTGGTTTAAATTTAATGTAAATATACTTTGCTATAATAAAAATTGAAATCGCTTAAAGTTTTATTTAAATTAAAAATATTTTCTGAATATTTTGGGATGAAATATGAATAAAATAAGTATGAATGGGAAACGAATGATCCGTACCAAAGCCAAAAAGACCAAGCCCTCCCCATTAACATAAAAAACCACAAATGTCATCTGATGAAAAGAAACTAAATAACACAGGACATATACCAGTGAAATTTAGATCCAGGCAGTGTATATTTTGTAGCACAAGGAAGAAACATCATAGAAGATACATGTGTGAAACATGGAATGTAAGTCTATGCATGTACCAAAAAGACAAAACATGCTTTGAACAGTGTCACAAAATTTTTTTTTCTTTGAAATTTAAAAACAAAAACACTGATTATTTTTTTTAATCCTTATTTTACTGAGTTTTTTTACCCATTTAGCCAAACGTCCTTATTATGTAGGTACTTATATTTTCACTGCTACAGAAAAATTACATAAATGTTTATTTTTTAAATTTTTCTGACGATTTACCTTGTAAAATAATGTTAAAAAATTATATATAATGCAATTCTTACATACATTTTTTTTTAAATTCGTAATTTTCTATTAATTCAGGATATTTGTTAAGTTTGCGGGAGTATAATGGAAAAGTAACCCTTTTTTCTATCAGCAAGATTTATTTCTATTTCATTTTAAAGATTAATAACAATATCTCTTCCCTTTTCATTTCTCATTATCTTGTAATTATATCACCAACTCTTTTTAATACATCTCTACTACTGAACTAGTTTAGATTTAATGATTTGCACTGGTTTTTTAAACTGGTGCAAATGTTACCAATGCAAAAGTTTAAAATCTGCAATCATCTGAGGCGAAGGAATGAATCAATAATATATTTTACAGAAGTTCCTAAAGGAGAATTAGGTTTGGTTTACAAAGATTTCAGATGACCTCTAGGAACAAACTATATTCGTTAACTGAGGTTTCACTGTACTTACAGACAATTTAGATACTGAAGTTACATTTGAAGATACACACATAAATCCAAATTTCATATATATACATAAATAGAAATTTCATATATATACAGAGAGAGAGAGAATTAAATTACATGAACTTTTGTAAAATTCAACAAATTACATTACATTACAAAAACATTAAAATCCAACAAATAGTAATATAGCAAAAATACAAAATCAAAAACTTCTCACACATACTCCTTACATTAATATATTTTTTCTTACAAATAATACATATAATATATACAAATAAGACTTTTTAGTGTAATTTAATATTTTTTTTCTTTCCTCTACGTCTGTTTTTCAAGCAGTTATTTATACTTTTCAGCTTATAATATATCATAAGCTGAGCATATGAACTGACAATATATTCCCACATTTTTACTGCATGATAATGGCATGTAAGCCATTCATGATCAATTAGTTTCAGTTGGGATATAATTTTGGATTTCACATCTTTTTGGCTACATATTTTATCAAACAAAGTTACAAATTTTTCACCCATCTCACAAACAGTAAATGTAAACTGTTGTGAGGGGTAACACAATCCATTTTTCACTACATCAAATTCTTTAAAATACAAAAAGTAAGTGTGTTCACCCAAAGATTTATCAACAAGAAGAATATTCTTACATAAAGTGCAAGGAAATTGCTTCAATGCCCTTCCAGCAATATATCCAGCAACACAAGCTGCTGAATTTTGTGAAAATACATCATATGATATGCTTGCAATACAAGCACTAGTATCAGAATTTTCATTTGCTACCAATAAGGGATCATCAAAGTCAATTTCCATATCATTTACATCACTGCCATTTCCAGGCTCAGTGTTATCGATAACTGTCAGCAACTCTGTAGGTATCAAAACTGTATCGTTATCAGGTTCACAGTTTGATAGCTTACTTGTGCTTATAATATTCTGTGCCATTAGTATTCTCATCCTCTGTTGAAAATCATATGCAGTTGGATGGTCATTATTTCCACCTCTGCGTCTAACAACAGAGAAAAAATTTTCCAAGGCATCTTGGGTGAAACGACACATTAATACAAATGGTACATCTTCCAACAGAACTGGAATTAACTGCTGAACTGCTGATAGTGTTAATTTCCAGCCAAATATACTTGGGAAAGATATTTTTTTTTTCTGTTTGAAATTCAATACCTTTGATGAAATCCATCTTTTCCTTCCAGGTTTTTAAGTGAATCGATGACTTGGTAACTCCTGCAAGAAAAGGATTAGAGTGCTTAAGTGTTCTACTGTTCAAACTGTCAAATAAAATATTTATGTTTGAACAGAAATCTGCTGTAAGACTAGCCGATGCGGGTAAGCCATTTAGTGCACTAAGGTAACACAGGCCTGAAGCCACAGAATGACTGAAGACCTGAGCTGCTAATTTTACACTCATAGCACTAAGGCAATCCACATTTACATGGCGGTCTGTTAATTTCGGAACACATCTGTGAGGCATTTTACGATCAAATTCCCACAAAGATACAATGTGGTTCCAACTAGCAATTTTGCCACCCTGAAATTTAACATCATACTTTCTAAAATTATTTCGCAAACACTTCAAAAGGTGAGGCACATCAAAAAGTGTGAATACCTTTTGTCTTGACATATAATATATGGTCTTTCTTCTGTGACTTTCATAAATTTTTTGTAACAAACTACATTGTTTGCACCACCATCACAAACAAAACCTGGAGTAGTGTAAGAAGAAAAAAAATAGCCAATGACCTGTTTCCACTTTTTACACAGCCCACGGACCATAAAAACAAGACCATGAGTTGCATATTCGGGAAATGTTTTTAGTTCAGTGTAGGAACCATAGTTTTCAAATCCAACAATGTAATCACTTTTCTTATCATAAGATAAGCTTTGCTTTAAAGTGATTTCATCGAAGGATAAGATGCAATACCTGTCATGGATTTTCAGTTTGCTAGCAACTAATTTTATGGCATTGAGCACAGCAACTGAAAATCCAGGTTCCATTTTTATACCAGATACAGCTTTCAATAATGTAGGCTTGCTGGGCAAATGCAAAAAAGCCTTCAGTGTATTATATGATTTTGGACTACTAAGATAGATCTGAAGGCACAAATTTTTATCCATCAGTGACCATCTTCGTCCGTATTTTGACACATTTGATGCTTTTATTTGTGATTTTATAAAAGTGAAAACTACAGAACTAACTAATGAGCTAATCAGCTGAAGTGCCTTTTTGACTCCAGCTTTGTTTGCTTTCCTTTTTGCTGAATGTTTTCGTTTTAAATATGCCAGCTTATGACTTAACTGCCTTATTTTTAAAGATTTTGGTGTTAAATATTTGTTGCATTTTAATCTTTTTGGCGTCTCTGTGATATTATTTAGTTCTATGGAGTGCTGCTGTGAACCAAGTTCTAGAGAGCCAGAATCTGTTTGTGCCAAAGGACTTGAATATTGATTGCATGCTGCTGCAATTTCGAGCACAACTTCATAGACAGCTGATGAACGTTTACAACTCTGTCGTTTCTGGACAGCTCATCAGCTAGAAAGGAAAAAGAAAATTTATATATATATAATATATATATATAACAAACAAGACTAATGCATAATAATTCATAATATAATCATTATCAATTAATTATTTTATGAATATTTCATCTCTAAACAAATAAATATTTAACTAACCTTTAACACGGTTTGACATTTAGTTTTAAGAAAAGAAATTTTGGTTAATCTTCGGATTATGGTAACTTGGCGATTTTTTGGCGACCAACCCTGCTACAGCAACCTGCTAGTTTTTTTTTTTTTTTTACGCCATTTTGTTTTGACAAAGTAAAGGCATGTTTTTTTTTTTTTTTTTTTTTTTTTTTTTTTTTTTTTTTTTTTTTTTTTTTTTTTTTTTTTACTCAAAATTTTTTTCCAACAATTTGCTAGCCGAATTACGCTTATGCTAGAACTTTTATGGAACAAAAGTGCTTGATCATGACGAAGATTAGGTGCGAAATTGGGAGAAAGTGCAGAATCGCCCACTGCTTGCAGCGTTAAGAATTGCACATACACGGTATCATCCATGTATATGTCGATCTATTTTGACTTAAAAAACATCTCAGAATTGCACAAAAATGGCATTGCGCACACTCTTGACTTTATCCATGTACACTGCTAAAGTCCTAGCTAGTAAACTTTTATCGCCTTACCAAAATGTCGCCAAACTACCTGTTGCCATATTCCAAAGATTAGCTGAAGTTTTAATTTTATTTTTAATTATCGTTAATTTCATTTATCCTGAGTTCGTAAATCTGATTCAAAGCCTAAAACTATACTTTGCGTAAATATATTCTGCTATATCATATTCTAAGAACATTCTGCTATATCCTTTATGGAAAAAAAAAGTACACCCTACTTTTTTTTTTCCATAAAGGATTTACTAAGGAAAATTTAATGGATTTTAAAAAAGGGTTACTTTACATTCTCTCATACCAAAATTTACTATGTAAGAAACAGCAGAAGAGTCCTTTCATAATAAATAAGTTATATTATTTATGTAAACAAATGAAATTTCTGTGGGAAATTAAACTAAATTATCATTCAGAAAAAGATTTATCACTCTTTTTAAAGACAGCAGACTACTCTCTTTCTGAGATAACATAGTAAGTTGTTGATCAGTACAATATATAAGAGGTTAAATTTTTGAAATATATAAACTTGAAATTAATGCATACCTGTTTCACCAAATTTTGTTGGTTTAGCACTCGAATGCAAAAAATGCTTCTTAGTTGTGGAACATGCATTGTCTTCAAAATGTGTGGAACAAAGACGACTTCGATATAAAAGAGAAGGTGGCTTCTTTAATATTTCCTTGTCACGTCCAATCAAGTAAATTCTACATGCTTCAAGCCATTGTGCTGATCTATAAAAGTTAAAACAACATGAAATTTACACCTACTTTACACAGGGAACACTAGTTTTAAACATTCATTTAAAATGTAACTTATTACTGTGCAAAACAAATACATATTTTAGTTTTTTCAGAAATTTAACATGTAGAAAACATTTAAGTACTAATTTATGTACAAAAAATTTAATATTTATGCATTTTACTCAAACTAGTGTTAAATTTTTAAGCATTCTGCTTATGAAAAAATTCATTTTAGCTGATGCATATATTCAACTAATGCTTCTACGATTTTGTAATATTTACATAAATATTTTATTACTATTGTATATATAATTAGGCTAAACAGATAAGGCAACATTGAATATCACACAAAGTATGTTAATGAATATAACATTTTCATTTGAAAAGGAATAATTTTTTTAAATAACAGAAAGTTAAAAAAATTTCATCATCTGTCACACTGTACTTATTTTCATGCATTTTAAACACTTAAAATAAAAATAAAATTTTTACCTCTCTGGATTTTTAGGAAATCGAAAGAATCTTCTTTCAGGAAAATACCAAGAATTGGCATTACACACCACACAATGCACATAAGCCTTTGGTGAAGGATCATTTAACCTAAATGAATTATTATTATAAAGATTTAAATCACATCAGTACAGAATATATAAAAATTGAATATAAAAATAAAATATGGATATTTAATAATTAATTTACGGAATACATTTAAGTTGCAAGGTTGAAATAAAATAAAAAGAGCCAATGAATATCATGACACCAGAATTATGCAGCTAATTTACTTTAATAATTTTATTTTTAAAACTGGAAAAATTATTAAAAAATTAATTTAAAAAATAATTAAAAATTGGGATAATATTGCAGTTCTTAGTAGCAAAAAATGATATCTGTGAATAGTTTATTATAAAGATTCTTTGATTATAAATAATGCTCAATGTATAGAATTAGAAAATATTATGAACTAAAAAATTGATACCTGGTTAAATGAAAATAGAAGAAGTTGCAATATACATTACATATAACTGCAGGAAAGATCGGATATGAAGAACTGAAATAATTTTCATTAGCAATCATAGTAAATCATCCCTTGATTTTATCCTCGCAATTATATACAAATATACTAATATTGCGTAAGAAGCTTTGATGGAGATTTTTCGAAATACTACTGATTTCTTTAACAGTAGGAATTATAATTTTTCAATATCCAATGAAACTTTTAACTTAATCGTTCATTACATATGATATTTGATTACCATCCCATGTTATGGAATGGATTTGAACATAACTCTTTGTAATTAAAAAATAATTCTACTATGAAAAGGTATAAGAATTAAATATTTTTACGTACCTTTCACATGCAGGATCACTAGAGCGTAATTCATTATTTTTTTCCCATTTCCAAATGTTCAAAATTGCTGAAATCCTCGTGCTTAGCGTTCAATATGGCGTGCTATGACGACTTCTACGATGTTGTTGACAACCTCTCTGGCTCTAGCGCGCATGCGTGAATGAATTTCAGGGAACCTGAATTTGCGCCTGTAAAGTTGTCAAAAAAGACACATTTTAGACTCAGTTTTTCTCCGTGGCATTGCTGTGCAGTCGAAGCTTGACTTCTTCTCACTATACATTCTTTGTTTAAACTAAAGACCAAATGATTATGTCTGTGTGTTATTCACTGTGATAAGATTAAACAGGTGTTTAGATTAAATGATATTAAGTTTATTTTACAAGTCAAGAGGTCAAAACAATGCTGCAGTTTTAAACATTTGTCTGAGTAGCTGACTTAAATAACTGAGAATTAAGTATATGATTATTCAGTTGGTAACCATTCTATTGCACAATACTGCATCTTTCCATCTATTGCACAATACTGTATTTGTATATTGGGTTTTTTCATGACCTGTGGTTTTCATGGTTATTGATTTAGATCCTTTAATACTCAGTCTTGTTGGATGGTACATCAAATGTGAGTGGAATTTCATCCATATTTCCTATTTGACCAAGCTCAAAAGAAGTTTTCTTGTGTGCATTTATAGCAAACCTATGAAATGCTAGTATTTTTTCTTCATAATCTGCTGGCATTTTCTGTGCAATAGTTGTTTTTGTGCGTATTGATAAGCCTTGCCTTTTCATGAATCTGTGGCACCAGCCCTCAGACCCTGAAAAGTTCTGATTCCCATGTTTTTCTGCAAATCCTTTGGCCTCATTGATTATCATTTTGGTTGAAACACATATTCCAGATTTCCTCTTATCTATCACCCACATTTTTACGGCATTTTCAAGTTCAGGCCAAGATGGAAATGGGCATCGAAGGTTATGTTTTTGTTGTTTAGCAGTCTTCAGTTGATCTTCCTGCAGTCGCCAAGTACGTATCATTTTTTCGGTAGGTGGTGGACCGAAATGCCTTGCCGCTGCTCCGTTTCCATGCACTTTAGCATAGTTTAACACTCCTAGTTTATACTGAATTGTATAGCTTAATCTCTTGTTTCCTGTAGTCATATTTTCCAGGGTATTTTTTTAAACAAATAGTTTTAAACACCAATACCGACACGTTTATACAGAGTAGCAAGTAATAATTATGGCAGATGTAGAAAAAGTTATGTGTGTCTAGACCTTTATCCGGACTAAAAATAGCATTCAGTATTGAAAGTTAACTTGTGTCCTTCACGTATAAGACGCAGGTGACTTTTTTGAAACCAAATTTAGGAAAAAAAGTGTGTCTTATATGCCGTCAAATATGGTAGCCTTTTTATGTTGTGCTCTTTTATTTTTGCTATTTAAGAAAATGAAAAATATGAACTTACGTGAAAATATGAATAGTATTTTAACAAATTAAATGTATAATGAGAAAATTGTATAAAACTAGTGAAAAAAACTGTTTGTATGCATATCTTTTTAAATTGAATTATTATATATCTTTTCCGATCAGCCGATTGAAAGGCTATTAATCATGCTTTATGTCATTTTCCCTTTTAATGCAGAATGCAGTTTTCAAAAGCATTGTGTTGAAACATCATCACAAACTATTCTTTTGAATGAAATGCTATTCGAATAAATAAAATCAAGTCTTTTAAATATATATATAAATAATAATAATGTCCAATGCACGAGACTGTGTATCGTAAATTCTAAAGATATGCTTTGTCTAAGATATGCACAAAAATTATTTTGTGATTTTGTTGTTAAATTGAATTTTATGCGATTTAAGGGCGAAGAACATAATATTAAAAAAAAAAAATTTCAAAAAATCAGATTTAGCATTATGCACAAAGGTTTTTTTTTTTTTTTTTTTTTTTTTTTTTTTTTTTTTAACATTTTGTATGTTACCTTTATGTATTAAATATCATGTTCTTCGCACTTAAACCATAAAATTCAATTCAATGGCAATATCGCAAAATAACTTTAAATGGAGCCTATCTTTAGATTTTCCAATACACAGTCTCGTGAGCTGGAGATAAGAATTTTTTTTTCCCTCCATACAGTGTTGCTATTTCTCGCTTTGAGATCGTTGAGTTTGTTAATCAAAAATTCATTAATGTGTTTCAAAATATGAAATCGATAATAAAACAAATTCCAAATTAGGGCTTCCGGATGCCCATATTCGGTGGAGGATTAAGTTACTCAGAATTGAATAGCTGTAGGTACTATTGTTTTATCACAAATATGAGAAACATACCTACATTTATGCAGATTCTTCATTATTTAATTTCTTTACATATAGCACAGGGTGATAATATTTGGTGGCAATAATTTGAAAAGGGAACTGACATTTATAGTGAATCAATGAAAAATGCCAAAATGAAATTAATAGCCCTTTTAGCCTAATGCTCTCTGAGCTTTAAAGTATACGGTGTGAGTGAATGAATGAATAAACATTTTTAAAATAACCATTTGAAGAACTCTAATTCAATCAGGCAATTCAAATAATTCGAAAAACTCTTTAAAAAGAAAAAAATGTAAAAGTAACATTTACGATTAAAAAAAATATAAAATAAATATTTCCAAGAAGAAGAAAGGAGTCATTTTTGCCCCCTCATTCAGAATGAAAGGGAAAGCAAAAAGTTTAACATAAACTGAGAAGTTCACCTTTGGTAGAAGGGGAAGAAAATGTGCCAAAATATATTCCTGAATTAATCAGTACTCGCCACATTTAATAAAATTCTGTTTTTAAGCCTAATTTGAGTCATAGAATCAAAATATGGGAAAAAAATGTGCATGTCTTTTCAGATGAATTCCAGTTTCATGTCAAAATACTTACTGAATAATGCTATATATGTCTAATGTACGTCATAAGTTGCAGTTTTGAGGCATGAAAAATACAAGTTTAATTCATCAATTAGCTGAATATATATAGAACTATCCCCCCCCCTTTTTAAGTGGACATTGATATCCAAAAGAAAATCAGATAGAATATTTAAACTATCAAATAGAGAATGTGAAAACTAAATATTTCATAGAATACTGAAAATTTTGTATGAGATATTTTTACTAACTTATAGTCTATATTCATTCCTGATAAAAAAGAGGAAAAAAAGAAAGAAAAATATCTAAAAAAAGTATATATATATAATGCATACATCCTTTTTACACCTTATATGCATAGCAGTTTGTCATTTGTGTGAAAAATAGTTTAACTTATCGAAATACTCGAATCCTCTTCCAAAAAAGCACAACTGGGAAATTTTTTCCTGGTTGATGAAAATTACGACACCATATGCCAATCTACCATTTTTTACAAAAGTGCGATCAGCTTGATGATAGTTCTGTGTTTTTCATAAAGGTGCCAAAATTTTATTTCATCTTCTGCTTAATTTTAATGAATCAGTAATTGTAATGGAATTGAGACTTGCAGAAGAGTGTGCACCTGCATGACAAACTCTGGATTGTCGTAAGGGTGGCGATAATCAGTTTCAAGTGAAAAGCTGATCTTCAGTTTCTGCAAATTGCCTTATGTTGCTGCACCATTATGAAGACTGCTGTTTTTTCAAATGGCAGTTGATTTTAAAGATGTTACATCATTATGAAGGCGTCTTTCTATAAAGAATCATGATGAATAATTTTTAGCGTATAATATATGGCCTGGCTGCTTAGAGGATTAAGCTGTAAGCATTTGTGAAAAACTGATTTATATCACATTTTTTTTAATTATGCTTTTTATGCATTCTGATTGCTGTATTTCAAATAGAACTTTAAAATATATGTATGTATCTTTATTATTTAATGCAATTTTTTTTTCCAGGTATAATGATACTTAGCTGGCAAGCTTTTTATTAGATGCAGCACTGAAGGGGGAAGTGAGAATCATGGCTCGAGATTATTCTTCAAATATTGAGAAGGGCGGAGAAATTCAGCTTGAGAAACTCCTGTTTGAAGCTGCTGCTGTTGGAGATTACGAGACAGTTCGTAATTTGCTTCAGTCTGGCGTTTCGGTCGATGCCGATGAATATAACAAAGCCTTATTCTATGCTTCAAAAAATTATATGACTCCTCTTCAGATTGCAGCTGCCAATGGTTATTTAAACTGTGTTCAGATTTTAATAGAATATGGTGCTGATGTTAATGCTAAGGACCGTTTTGATGTTTCAGCTATGCACATGGCAGCCGAAAAGGGTCATCATCTGTGTTTAAAAGCTTTACTGGATGCCAATGCAGATTGCTGTCTACCTACCAAATTTTCAAAGTCTGGTTGCTATACTGCAGTTCCCCATTTGGGAGGTACTACGCCTCTTCATCTTGCTGCTTCTAATAATCATGTTGACTGTGTGAAAGAACTAATTCAATATGGAGCTGATTACAATGCAGTTGATGAACGAGGTCGTACAAGTCTTTATATTGCTGCGAAAGCTGGCTATGAAGAGTGTGTGTTAGCTCATTTGAAAAATGCTGTTGGACGTGATATTTTATCGTTACCAAGTCTTGAAACATTTGATACCCCTTTGCATTTTGCTGTGAGTCGTGGGATGGTTAATTGCGTCCGAGAATTACTGAACTTAGGATCTGATGTGAATCACGTCAATTATGCAGGATTGTCACCGTTGCATCTCGCAGTTAACTCTACCAATGAAATTTCCTCTTCCAATATGGAAATCTTAAAAATGCTTGTATTAGATGGTTATAATACTGATATTAATCAAGGTGATGGCAGTGACCTGACGCCTCTTCATTATGTGTGCTTTATTGGGAGGAACACTGTGCGTTTTCGCCCTGAAATGGCGAAGTTTTTAATATCCTATGGAGCAGATGTAAATATAAAAAATACTCGTGGCTTCAGCTTACTCGAATGTGAGCTGATACATACTGATGAAGATTTCACAATTTTGAAATATATAGTTAAAAGCATGCTGCATCCTCCACAATTGAGGAATTTAAGGGTAGTTCCTTATCCTCCTCCTGCATCTGGACCAAGGCTGGCATATCTGCGTCCTCATCGTGAACAAGACAATGCTTTAGAAGTGGCATACGCCCGTGCTGTTGGTGCCATTGCTGAGGTAATGGAAGGTTTTCATGCTGGGAATGAAGATGGTAGATTTGCTTATCCTCCTCCTCCATCTAGAGTTGATGCAGAAGTACATGCACAATGGGAAGCAAACTGCATACGCCGTAAACAAATGTGGTATGAATCTATCGCTTCCAATCCTAGAACTTTACAGCATTATTGCCGATATACAATAAGACGTACTTTAGGTCCACGGTCATTGAAGCACATAAAACGATTGCCTATACCTGTTGCCTTGCAGTCATATTTACTGTTAGAGTATGAGGAATGATTAATTTAATAGATTTGTGCTAAATGGACTAATAAATTTTTCAGTGCTCCTTTTCTTCAGGACTGGTATTAAAAAAACTCTTTGTATTGAATACATGAATTATATGTCATAAACTATTAAATACTATTCAGGTAAAAAACCAATGAGTGCGATTAATATATTTCTCAAATTGTGAGATGATTTTTAAATTGTCTCAAGGAAATTCAAATTATTTATTTATATTGTTGGAATTAATCTTTTTTCAATATTTTAAGTGTGTATTTCTTTCTAAAAATTATATTAAGTTTCATTGCATATTTCATTAGCTGTTTAATGAAATATATTTTTCTGATGACATAAACATTGTAACAAATTTAATGCCAACTAGTTGACTGTACTTTTGCAACGAAGACTATGCTGTGCTAGTTTTTTGTTAAATAACCTTCGATCACATTTTCTTCGATGATATTTCTGATGAAATTCGCATCCTTATCAACATTCAACTTTACATTCTTTTTACCCTTAAGCAATCTGTAATTATTATTTTCAAGCTGCCTGCAGTGCAATTTGTAATCACTAGCAATAAGATGTTTACATTTCTGTTTTTTACAATCTTAAAGAATTCATTTTCCATGGGAAATATAATCAAATCATTGTTCTAGTAACCATTTTTAACATGGTTTTATTCACTTAATAAGTAAGCTTTATTTCTGCAACTTTATTTTCTAAGAGTATTTTGCTATTAGTACAAATTATTTCACACCGATAATGAGGTCAGTCATTTGTTTCTTCCTGTAGGCATATCAAATTCTTTATGTCCCTATCAATATCAGTATCATTTCAAAACAACTGTAAACAAATCTTAACACAGTTGCAAATATAAGTTAAAATTTGATTTGATGTAAGGATGAGATTTGATTTAAGGCCACATAACCAAATCAGTGCTTAGCCATAATAAGTCATATTGGGGCCAGCCTGTTCAGTTATGAATGAAGGCTGACCATGATCCTTATACATATTACAGAAATTTTGAAAAGCTATAAATTGTCTCATTTAAACAACCTAATAATTTTAAAAACTCTGAAAAACTAGGGTGCAGAATTCAACAAAAAAGGTTAAAAATAAAGTAAGCAAAAATAGTACTAAAATAGATGTGTTTACCCATTAGATCTGAAAGCATGCACATAAATCAATAAATAATGTGAAATGAAAACAATTGGTATAATAGTGTAATTAGTAAATAATATAATAAATAATAGATCGATGTGATAGGAATAATAGAGATGTGAATGGAAAATTTGTTTTCCATTCACATCTTAATCCTTACTATGTCTCTATAATTCTTTTCATGTCTCTTGAAAAAGCAGTAGCTTTTTTTGTAAAATTTTGAGACTGTTTTCATTCAAATCGAGACATAAATCCCTCGTGTTCCATATTAAAAGGTATATATCTTAGTGAAATATTTGTGTCTCCGACAGTATTATGTATTTACATATTAGATGAGAACCCTGGAGGTGAAACCTATTAAAATAAACCAGGAAGTAATTAGTTTAAATTACTATCACTATATATTTTTATATACTTTACAAACTAGTATAAATTTTAAATAACTCAATTTTTCTCAGATGGCCTCCTTCATTGAGTCCATTTTTCAATAATCCCTTTTCTCATTTATGTTAGAGGTTTAGTTTTTAAGCATGGAATATAACTGAACATTTATCCCAAAATATATCAGTTCTTTCTTTGTTATAAATCTAATATGAGCTTTAATCCAGTGAATTTTAATTGTCTTTTGCGTAGTTTCTTTATATTTTGTTGAACTTCATAAAACAATTTTATTTTTTGGTTGGGAGAGTGTTGACACTGCATCCATATGTAAACTTATTCTATGTTTAACATTAAAACAATCTGAGATCCAATCAGGAGGGCAGTCTGTTGCATTTAGGTGAACGTGTTATGCAGAGTTTATTTTGTAACATATAATGCTTACTATTAATTTCCAAGCCATAGAATATAACTCGTATGCAAAGTGAACATCCTTCACATATTTTGAACCATCAGTATAAATGTCACTTTTACCGCTGCAGAAAAAATTATTTACCGAAATCTATACCAGAATAATTAATAGAAGGTTAAGTATAGGTTTAAATGATATTTTGTTGGGTTCTAACCAATATTTAACACAAAGACTGGATTTCTGTCGCCAGTTTCTTTGTTGGACTGTCATGTATTTTCTTAGGTTGAACTTCTTCATTCTACTGTTTGATACTGCTGGTTCAGAGTATGCATATCCATTCTGGCAAGTTTTTGGCCTTAAGAAAGATAAAATTCCTGAAAAATATTTACACTTTCTGAATCTGCATGTAACATTTATGTATATATAATTGAAAAAGAATATGTAAAGCTAACTGGTAATTAGATGTAAGACCTATCTGGTTTCAAAAACAACATATATATATATATATGTTCACTTCTGATTGCATTATCAAATGCGTAATGGAGAAACTGCAGGTAAAGTAGTATATAAAAGTGCTTAGTGATTACAAATAAAAGCAAGTAACACCATAGAAATAAATGCAAATGCTTAAGAGGATGTGCATCATCAGGTAAATGTGATCAAACTTAACCAAAAAGTACCATATTATGATTTAGGATATATATATATTTAGAATTATAATATTCCTAGTCTAGCATACAAATAATCTAGCTTGTTAGTGCCTTAGAGGACATGGAAAATGAATGTATATATTCAATCTTAATAGAATTTTATATTCAGTTGAATAAAAACTTCAGTTTAATAATAGCTGTACTGCTTAGTATAAATTGTTTATCTACCAAGTGCTTTCATAGCCAGCAGCCTAAAATTATTATTGAAAAGACAATGATTTTAATGAATTTATCTAGGATAATTTCATTTGTCCAACTAGATGTTAATAATAATATAGATAAAGAATTGCATTTATTGCTATTAAATTCGTTAGTTTGTTGATCAGTGACAGACTGATTAAATTCAAAATTAAATATATTGCACTTTTCAAATGGCAATACTGTGTTGTGTGGGAGGTAAATGAGTTTCTAATGAAATATTTTTAAGTCTTTTAATTTGAAGCATGTATATAATACATGTTACCAAGTGGCACCATATTTCTTTTAAATTATCAATTTCGTTAATCAAAATGTCATTAAATTTCTACAAAATATGGAATAAATAACCAAGGTGCACATGTTCAGTTGAAGGTCTATGTCAAAAAGATCAGTGGCTCTACTGGATCATGAGAGTTAGATTCACACTAGAAATTATTACTATCACTGTTCTTTGTTTTTTCTTTAACATTATTAGTTCCACCATTTATGTTTTATTCTAATGTACATGCATTCCATTGTGATGAAAGATGGTATCTAGTAAAGAAAATGTTTCTTTATATTCAGATCCAGATTTATGGAAAAGTGCAAGTTGCAGTCACAAGATGAGCCTGTCTTCCAAAATCATTCTCTTGATTCAAAGAAAAGCAGTGTAGAACTGTAAAACAGTAGTAAACATACCTTCTGCCTTAAGAAGAAGTGCTTCTAAAAGTTCAAGTTAGGTAGACACTCTCTCTCTATGTTATAAATCTTCCAAAGCAAGATTTCGAAGCTTTAAAATGCCTGGACAAGGGTTAAATTATGTGATTCTGAAAATTAAACCACTTTAGCTACCACCCACCCATCCCCAAGTTTGTTGAATTCCATAAGCATTTTGTAAAAATTTTAGATCCCCAGACTTCCTTTTGTACAAGCAGGTGTTTTATAAACTGAACTGTTGGGAAGTAAAAAGTTATATATGGTAATTAGGTACTTGAAGTTATATCACACATTTTCAGTGTCATGTTGGTGCATTTTGGTTTATTTCCTCTCTGTATGCTTATGCTTTATGCCAGACAAAATGCAGCAGTCAGGAAAAACAGTACATTCTCTAATATTGTGGCAAATCTTCCAAAAATCCATTATGAAGGAAGAACACAGCCTATTTTTTTCCTTTTTATGTACTTGACAATTTCCTGTTTTGTTGTGCCCATCATAACATTAAAACAAGATAAGTAATTGGGACGTATCTTTCTTATGTAGTTATGGTTCTTTCTGATTATGTGCACCCCTCCAAAACTTATTCACGAGGCAACACATTGTGTTGCTTAAATAGGCAAATTGTATATATGTGGCTAACCAGGTGTGCATGCATGTGCAGCAGATGAGAGCATATTTCCATGTTCAAATTCAATGGCCATTTTCATGCTTTGTATTTGTTTATGCTTTGAGTATATTTTTTTTCTCTTAAAAAAATCTTAGAGGCACTGGGAAGTTACTGGTTGATAAAAAAGAAAGCATTGCACTTCTTCAAAAATGTAACATTTCCCCAACAGCAGAGAATATAAAATTTTCCAAAGTAAAGTGATATTTCTTAAATAATAAAACTTTATAGATCAAAATTTGTGCCATTTTCTGATTTTATTGAAAACAAATTGAACAGTAATACAACATAGAACAAGAGCATATGCAATGTTAAATTAGTGTAATTTTCTGATTTTTTTCAAGGTAAAAACGGATTACTATGTGCATGAGAATAACTGCATGAAAAAAAATTGCATAAGGATTTTCTTAAAAATCTGTTTTATTAAAGATGGTTCTTGCTTTAATTTTCTGAATTTATCATTCTTTTATGGAATCCTTAGTGTGTTGCCTATTTCAGAATGGCTTACTTTTCATCTATTAGCTTGGCAAAAAATTTGTTGCCAACAAGTTGTTAATTTTTCAGAGTTACAGAGTGGCTAATCAGAAAGCATAGTAGTTCATCCAATCAGCCCTTGTGATATGATTGTTAAATTGAAGCAAGGTTTGATTAGTAAAACTCAATAATATTGACTCTTAGCTGCGAATTCTCACTGTTTTTTACTTTTAACTTTTCCTAAATGAAATTTATTGAATTTTGAAACTTAAGTTGTACAAATTCCATTACTCTGTTTAGTGATTTTCAGCATAATTGTTTTTATTAAATTTTATTTGATATCAGTTGTCTTAACTTGCTGCATACATTTGTAGAGCTTTTATAAAGAATCAACCAATATTACTCAATCAGTTAATATTTGTATTTAATTTTGTTGTGCATCAAATTATGGTACACTATAAAGTTTATCGACACAATAGTATGAGTAATTATTATTTTCATCATATTTTAAAGTACTTTAGTACCAGGTAAAAGTTAACAATTGGGTGCCCCTTGTTTTTTTTGGGAGGGGGTGTTTTTTTTTTTTTTTTTTTTTTTTTTTTTTTTTTATGTCAAGATTGGCACCAGGAAGGCACAATTTCAAGATGATTGCTATACAAAACCAAACTAAGAAGTCAAAGAATTGCACAAACTCGGTGTCCTAAGACTAAGAAGTCAAAGAATTGCACAAATACATAGATCTATTTTCACTTTAAAAAAAATTCAGAGAATTGCACAAACTCAGCATTGTGCACTGCCTTGACTTTGTCCGTGTGCACATTGATCTATTTTCACTTAAAATAAAGAAATCAGGAAGCTAGAACCAAATTACTATCATGGTAACCAGAAAGGGGGGTGTCATCACCAAAATTAAACAAATATGTCGCCAATCGAAGGGACACCCAATTCTACACTAGTGCTGTACATAAAAGCTCTCCTTTCCTTTTCAGGATCTTCTTGATATAAGAAAATTATAAAATTAAATTAATTAAAGTACATAAAATTTTAAATAGCCAATTAAATATTATATATTTTACACTATAATCATATCAACAGTTCAATAACTTGAATCATGTATAATAAAATGAATTTAAGTTTGGAGTTCTTTTGAAATGACACTGCCGCACAGTGTGTAAACCTCCCAAAAAGTCCAAGTTTTTTAGATTTCAAGGTTGGCAACTATTTCTTAAGTAAAGGAATCATGTTACTAATGAAAAGAATGTGTGATCACCATTTGTGTTCAGTTAGATTTTTCTTCCGAGTCCGAGTGAATGTTACACAGCCATTTTGGCTTCTAGTCACATTTTGCTTTTATGACGTTATGCATTTAAACACAGCCTTTCTTTATGAAAAGTATCTTTTGAAGAAACAAGATGGAAGTTGTTGCAATAAAGAAGAATTCACCCAGGCAAAGGAACCAAACTGAATTTGTAACATTTATACCAAGGAAATACAACAAAGAAATAAGTGCCATGTGGGAGTGGCTTTTTGATTATTATATTTAGCTGCCGTTTTATCAGGTATGGAGTGGGATGCCGTTCTTGTTTAGTATTTCCATAACCCATCTTCATTCAGTCCACTTGTGTGTCATACTGTTAGGATTCTACTGTATTTAATTTTGCTGCTGTGTCACAGAAAAGTTTTTAATGTATTAAATATTTGGATATAATGGGATAAATGATTTAATTTTGAAAAGCAGTCAGTAAGTTCGCAGACTGTTAGATTTTGTATTTCTTCCTTTTTTATAATGCACCATTTAGAAAAGGTATTGGACTTCAGGTAACTAAAGGTAACTCTAATTTCTTTAGAGCTAGTGGTGTTGTAGGAATATGTGTGTTTAAGGGAATGAAATAAGGTGATAAATATGACAAATATTAAATTTGACTCTTGCCACTGAAGTTAAAACTATCATAGGAGCATTTTCATCAGGTGAATAAAGTACTATTTGGATCAGTTTTTTTTTACAGCTCAGCTGTTATGTTAAATAATCTGCAACCATAATCCAGAACCTGCATAAATAAAACTAGACATTATAGATTTCTTTGATGTGTTTAAAATAATCAACTCACCAATTAGTTTATTTTTCAGTTACTGTTCTGAAATAACAAGTGTGAAGAAGTATAATATTTTCAAAAAGTAGAAGGAAAAGTGATAGAATACATTTTAAAACTAACTATAACAATAGTGATGTTAAGATAATTGAAAACTGCATGAAAAATTTATATTAGCTGACATGGATGGTTATTAAATGTAAAAGGTATAATAAAATTACTGAAATGCAATGTGAAAAAGCATTCTGAACTGTGATTACCAAATCTAGTTAAAAGTTTCAAGAAATTCTAAATCTCAAAGAAGTTACAAAACAAAAGTATTTAAATAAAATGAGAAAAACTAAAAATAGAGTAAATGTACTTGAAAAAAACTACCTGATTGATATGTATTTGTATTTAAAACACATTTGTAAGAAGGTTAAAGCCTGCACTTGAAATAATAGATAAATGCAGAAGAGTGTACTCGAACTATATGTTCTCAAAATTTTATAGATGAAATTCCTTGAGAAAATTCATGATCAGAAATTGTTATTTAAAACAAAATTTCCATTAAAAACTGAAAATATGTAAATAAATGCAAAATAGCAGGATTTATAATAATTAGTAAACTTCAGAGGAGAATGCCTGATTGAATGAGAATTTATAATGCCACTTTGTTATGTGCAAATTAAGACATTTAAATGCCCTAAACGCTTAAAAGATTTTGATAGCCGCACATATGTTTATTCCAGTTTTTTCTTCATTCCTTGTCTCTGTCGATTTTGGTTTAGCTGGTTAGTCCTTCTCTGAATATCTTAGAAACCCTTTTTTTTTTTTTTTTTTTTTTTTTTTTTTTTTTTTTGCCCTAAGCATGTGCTTATATTGCTTAATGGTTAAGTCAGTCCTGAGCATTGTATTTGTGACATATTTATTAAAAAAATAAAACTTGGTTTGCAATTGAAAAAAGGTTTGAAAGAAATATCCATCATATACTGTTCACCATTAAATCATTTATCTTTTATCTGTATCTTGCAATCAAATATTCAAAAACCTTGCATGGGATGCCATCCATTTTGCTTATGCAGAATGAAGATTTTTAAAAATCAGCTGAATAGTAAGAATGGTAATTCATAACCTTGTAAAATGAATATTTGAAAGAAGGAAATATTTAGGCAAAACAGCAACCTTGTGTTTGGCATTAGATTTTCATTAAAACTATCAATTTCGGGGGTGAACATGTTCAGGTCCTTTGTTCGGAACAAAAAGTTAAATATTGGAATGATTTGCGAGTTTTTGCACTTGGTTGTGCTTGCAAATAATGTAAATACAAATTACACCATGCTTGCTCATCTAAATATTTCAAAAGATTAATTAGAATCGTAAGAGAATGGACAAGGTGATGCCATACCCAAATGCAGTCTAACTGAAAAATTAATACCTCTTTGTCATTTAAAAGTATCCCAAAATACTACTAAATTTGTTTTTGGCATAGGTGTAGGTGGTAAAGGCTTTCAGAAAATATTCACAAGTGATAACAGATTTATTCTTTGTTTGCGTACCATCGTATGAAATGAAGAGGAAAATCTGGCTATGTACAAAAAGTTGTTTGGAAGTTTTTGTTAATGTAACTGATATTTTTTATCATTTTATGCATTTTAGTCATTTCATTTTATTTAGTTGAGCAAAGTAATACATGCTTTGGACTATTTTCACTGTAGGGTAATTAGTGAATTGGCAATTTTAATAATGGTTTGTTAAGCTATATATAAGGGAGATTGGAAAAGTCATTTTTTCCATCAAATTAAAATAAATAATTTTGTAGTATATTTTTGCTTCAAGTTAATGCCTCGCCCGTTGCCAAGCAGCTAAGACCACTAAATACTGGAAGTTTAACTTTTATTCCATCCCAAGTTCACTACATTCTGCATTTTTTCCCCCCCTCCATGTGTAATGTCAGTACTAGCCAGTTTCCCTTGAAGATCCTCTACAAGCATCCCTGCCCCCTAGCAAATAGCTCCCATATGCTTTCTCAATATTTAATTAACCTGACCTATTATCAGTCAGTATTGTAATCAACTTCATTATCAATGATATTTTTGACCACTTGGCTAGGAAACTTTCAGCATTGGATCTACAGAATAAAGATGGTATTTGATCAAATTCTATTTTTGACTATTTCCACACTTCAAAACTTTTTTACAGTGACTTACAGACAGTAGTAAGCGGAGAGTACAATGTCAGATTACTAAAGTGGGTAAGATAACACTCCTCATTCCCAGTCATTGATTATGATGCACATTCTTTTTGTTTTGTTGAATGTTAACAAGGCTGGGTACTTTTCAGTATGTTTTACTTGATCTAAAGAGATCAATGCTTGTGATCCGACTTGGTTTTGGAATATCAAAATGGATTATGTCCCAAGTATTCCACTAGACAGACAACAGTACTTTTCTTGGGTATAAGCCTGTCTTTGAGCTAGCTTAATAGAGTTTGATTGGGAGAGAGCCATTATTTCTTAGGTTTGGAATTGATTTCACATCTTCACTCACTGCACTATCATTAAATGCTTCTGCATTACATCATTGTAACAACAAATTACAAGTAAGGTAATTGAATAATTACAATTTGTTTTCTTCTGACAGAATGTGTGGAAGCCAAATACCTTCTCTGTTAACTTTAAAAAGTCTGCTTCAAA